GATTGAAAAAAAAAATCGACACTGAGTTTGAAGATTGCTTGTGTGTTTTATGGCGATTTATGTACAAATATGAATGTCGTTTGTGTATTTTTTTTCTTTGATAAGAGTCTTTTCTATCAGAAAGTTCTGTGCTTGTCGAAAACCACATTTCTTAAAAATAATATTGTGATCGTGTGAATCATCTTGTGTGAGTGTGACTTTCTCCAGTAATAGATGTATACATCCCATACATAGACAGTCTATAGACAGCCATCTTATTCTGTGATGACCTGCCTGTTTCACTGCCGTACATTTGTGTCAGTTCTATTTCTAAATAAAACAGTAAATTGGTACGGTACAGATGATGGTGTCCTTAATGATTTATGTCCCTTGCATGCTGGGAACACATAATAATAGAAAATGGACATAGTTTCATATCAATCTTTGAATGCAATGCAATTAATGTTGAAAATACATCTAAAATCAAAACATTTTGTAGGTAGAAAATTAATAGATAGCACTTTAGTATAGAGGTTTCATGTGTCAATGCATTAATCATTGTTCATGTTAATTGTTTAAATTATTCATATTAACATTAATAAACAAAAAAAAAATTACTGTTAAGCTTTACCGCTTCATTAGAACTGGTATCGAGTATATTTCGATTTTTTTCTAACAAAAGAAAATATAAAGCACTCTTTACTGAACCACAATTCAGCATTGAATAGATAGTGTTACAAATAGTAACTGTGTTTTAAATAGTAACGTTTTAAAGACATCAGCCAGCCTTCAGGTTTTTACAACGCCATTGTTGACATTTGATTAGAAACCTACAAAGAAATCTAAAATTACTAGATAAGATGTAGAAGACCACAATACTTTGCCAGACAATTACTGTGATAATGATTGCTTCCAAAAATTGAATGCATTTAACATTTAAATAGTAACAAATCAGATTCCATCACGCATTTGACCGATTCTTTTCGCTTTATCTTATATCCGCTGAGGTAATGGAAAATATTCTTTCCTTGCCGTTTTCTTTAATGGTGTCAAACTTGGACTGGACACTGTCTAACTCCAGAGTTTGCTGGACCTTCGCTGTCAGGCCTTCAGGATCCATTGGCTCTGAGTCTGGATGATGTACTCCAATCAGCAGCTCATAAAGTAATGAACCCAGAAGAGCACCAACACATGTTACAACCAACGGTACCCACCACCATCCATGTCCGGCCCTGAAAACAAATAATCTCATGTTAATGTCCAAAAGGTTATCTGTAAATATTAAAAAAAACACCACTGTTCAAAAGTTTGGGGACTATAAGATTTTTTATATATATATATATATATATATATATATATATAAAAGGAGCTATTTAATATTTCTTTTATCCAGCAAAAATGCATTAAATTGATCAAAAGTGTCATCAAAGACATAATATTATAAAAGATTTCTATTTTCAAATGTTACTTTCAAAAACATTGACAAAAGTTACCGACACTAACAGTGGTGTAAAATACAGTATAAGTAACAAAGATAATATTTGTGTGCATAATTAATTGATCAGAAGCCTTTGACATTGTGTGTATGCTACACTTACCTGAACACCTCGTCTCCCCAGCCTGCAATGTAAGAGAAGAGTCTTGGTCCGATGTCTCGTGCCGGGTTGATGGCATATCCACTGTTAGATCCCATTGAAATCCCGATGACCAGGACAACTGCTCCTACCAGGACAGGCTCCAGACCAGGAGGTGCTGGTGTGTTATGAGGATCTCCCAATGCAAGAACACATACTAGAAGAGCAGCAGTGCCAATTATCTGCAGGACAAGCACACGTTTTTTAAAGGGGTGGTAAAATGCCATTTTCACAAGAAGTAAAATAAATCTCTGATGTCCCCATGTGTGTGTGTGAAATTTTAGCACAAAATACCCCACAGATCTTTTTATATAGCATGTTAAGGTTTTAACTTTTCGAGGGTTGGCAAAAACGCACCGTTTTGTGCCTGGCCCTTTAAATGCAAATGAGCTGCTGTAGAGGGCGGCTGTGATTAGCAGCTGTGATTTCCTCATGCAGACACACTAAAATGACAGAAACTGTTCTCCCTTTAATGTTAAAATGGAGTCATTCAAAGATGGAGCGACTCAAGAAGAAGTGATAACGTAGAATGCAACAGGACGTCTCGAATGGTTAGTTGATGAATTTATTTTCAATTAGGATATTCTGTCATGTAATCTATAAATCACTCATATAGGAACTGTTGTGAGATGACTTTCTATTGCCTGTGAAAAGATTAGTGCTGTCAAACGATGAAAATATTTAATCGAGATTAATCGCATTAATGTCATAGTTAACTCGCGATTAATCGCACATTTTTATCTATTCTAAATGTCTCTTGATTTCTTTTTGTTACATTTTTTTCTCATTTTAATGCTCTTATCAATATGGAAAAGTGGAAAAATTGTTATTGAAAATAACATTGGAATAGTGTTCAATTTCACACTAATATATATATAAATAATCTCTCACACAATGTAACACTGTGTCTATCAATAAAAGGGTGAAAGAAATACTGGCGAGGTCCTGATATTGACGAGGGGGTGGAGAATTCGCATTATCTGTGTGTGTGTGTTTGCTTGGCCATCATCAAGTGGTGTTTCAGACTGGACGAGCTGCGATGATGATAGCTCAGTTCACAACGACAAAACACACAGATCACTTGGTCTTGTCAATGGGACAATTTGGCAACTTTTTAAAAGTAAACTTTCTATTCAGAATGTTAGGGCATCCATTTCGGCGTCTCGCGCTCGTCATCCACTCAAACGTAACGTTACTATCTGGCCGGCTCGCAAGCCGAAACGAGTGTGTGCGGCACAAAACGTCCTCGCGCTGCGCTCTGAAACCCATTCATTTCAATGGCTTGCGCCGCGCGAGGACGTTTTGTTGCTTCTTCGACCAAAGCGCAAGCGGATCTATCTAGACCGGAAACAAAACAACAGGCACGCCGCAAACACACGTTTCGGCTTGCGAGCCGGCTGTGAGTGGATGACGAGCGCGAGACGCCGAAATTGATCAGGACGCATGCCGTATCCTGTTGCAAAAGCATGTGAAAAAACTACAAAGTTTGCTAGGACAAAAAGACCGTTAATCGCGTGATAAAAAAAAATAACGCCTGGGTTTGCGTTAACGCAGTTAATAACGCGTTAAACTGACAGCCCTAGAAAAGATAGATGCTAAAGTTTGAGCTGACTCACAAATGTACTCTTATACAACCACTCTTCCTCTTCTCAATATGGACTGTGTGTTCCCGGGGGCGGGGTTTATGTACATTTTAGGGTTGGTGATGTCACAAACCCTAGAGGAATGTCATGTAGTCCCTACCAGCCATTTGTTGTAGTCCTTTTCTTTAAAAGCAAATATCTTTCTTTGCTTTGAACTTTGAGCGTTGTAACTTTGATAATGTTGTTTATGCTCAAACAGCAACATTACACACTAACTAAAGTTAGAAAAGATACATACTTTGCCACCTCTTTAAGAAATCTTTTTAAAGCATTGTATAATATTTTCTTATATTGTTATTTTGTAAAAGAAACTAACATGCACCATTCTCAAGCAGATTTTGTCATTGACATACAAAACGCAGAAAATTTTAGCAGAGCGACTCGACGCTTCAGTTCACGGGCAAGTGCGAAAGATGTAAGTGGCTAAACTTAACGTTTCATATTTTACATTTTTTTAGGTCATAAATGTTAAACGAATGACAAAAAAATAATCAGGCAAACTAATATAGTTTTGTCTAATTTCGCCATTTTGAACTGAAATAACGCGACTCATGTAACTTAATTTAATACTTTACTGTCATTGTGAGGGGAACATTAACAAAGCCGTTTTCATCATTTTAGCCACAAGAGTAATAATGAATGTGTACATATTGAGAATATAATAAAAATGATAGCCTAAGTACATTAAAAAAGCTGCCCACTGACATGGTTTTAAAGCTATTTCTTATCCTTTTTTGGTCTTCAAACGTCTTGAAATGCACATATCAGAGAAATGAAAAAAAAAATGACGCACCAACCTCAAATTTAGGACCTCTTTGATTATAAAGCCCTGTCTACGGCCCTGTTTTAGGCATAAGATCAATAATGAATGTGTAGCCTACATGTTTTGAATGCATTTAATAAACTTGATTACCTAGCTTTAGTAGCTTTCAGTGAATAAACGCGTCTGAGAAAAATTATTCATAGGCAAAATCAGTTGACCTTATGTTTACTTTCCTCACTGACAGACAAATGAAAAGCCTATATCAGTCAAAGCTCAGCTTTAGGAGGGGAAGAGACAGGGATAAGGGACAAGATAAAAAACAAAGAGAAAAAGAGGATGATGCTGATGAGGAGAGAAAAATAATCAGCTGCCCACTGACATGGTTTTAAAGTTGTTATCTAATTTTTTTGGCCTTCAAAACATCCTAAAATGCACATGTGTAGATCAGAGAAATCAAAATTTTCATAGGTTTGTTTAGCTATTCATAACTAGAGTTTTGTAAATAGCTAATCCTTTATTCACGCACAATTATATGCCTATGACACTGACATGGCCAATTATTACTGATATCCTAAGATTTCAGTCCATGGGAGTTTATAGAGGTAATATTAGCAGAACACAATGCATTTCTGAACACGTTTGAAGTAGTTTGAGAAGATAAATGACCCCAGGAGTCACAACACCAGGATCACACTGACCTCTGTTTGGCTGAATCAGGAAAAAACTGTTCAGGTCAGGTCATGGAATTCATTGTTTAAAGCTATTGTGGTGGTGACGGTATTCCAGTATGCTTTGCAATTGAACAAGTTCGAACAGGTTTGGATCCAAATACTCTGAAGCAGTGGTGTTGTCTAGTTTTTTGTAGTGAGTATACTGTGATATATCCGCAGCCCCACTCCCCCTTCCCCCATCCACCGCCACTACCACCCATTTTCGAAATTTTTTTAAAAACTTGTATGATATTCCTTTAAAATTATGTTTTAATAGATTTGATTATTATTATTTTAAAAAGTACATTTTACGATGCAATTTCTTTCATAATTCCCTCGAGTTACTTTATTTATCTCTATAAACTTTTATTTTGGTGGGTTGTGAATTAAAGACATTTGAGGTTCTGTGTTATTTAATAAACTATTATTATTATTATTATTATTATTATTAGGCCTACTTGAAGTATACTCTACTGTGCAATAGTAATATATTTCTTTATATTTTCTTCAAGTTATACAAAACTTTGATTTTGACAGGTTGCATGAAACAGTGGCATCACTGAATTTTGATCATTACTTATATTTTTTCTAAAAACAAATTTAAAAAAAGTTTAGGATCTAATGCTCACTATTAACCAGTTTCATGACATGAAAAGGTAGGGTTTTATAATCACTGTTTTCCCGAATGTGAGGTAGGTTAGTTAGGGGGGTTCAGGAATTCACTGAGAAAACTAGTTTTGTTTTGAATAGCTAAATACAAATGTGTAACTAAATCAGTTACAAGGCCAGAATTCTCCATAAGGATGGACCTTGGTGAAATATTGTGGACCTCAGTGTCCTTTCAAATTTATTATACAAGTGAAATTGGAATATCATGAAGTTGATATTCTTTATCATGTTTGAGAGAATATTTGATTTTTAATGCAATCTATCAGTAGCACTTTATTTCACGGTCCTGTTTTGCATTAACATAGCATGCACTTATTGTAGTAATGGCACTTATAGTAGCCTACCCTTAAACTTTAACTTAACCTTAAACTCCTCAGTAGTGGGTAAGTACACTTGTAAGGACATGCTCTAAATTAAAGTGTCTTTTTCAACCAGTCCGTCTTTTCTCACAGTGTCTGAAACAGCTCGATCAACTTCAGTCTCTTCAGTCAACCCCTCCTTTCCACGAACTCTGCTCTGATTGGTCAGATGACCCAGTCTGTTGTGATTCCCAAACAGCCATACACACATGAAAGGTAATCTCTGATTAAGCATAAAACTGGTCTGGCACTATAATGTTTGGTTATTGTGATCTTATGAAAGTCCTGTATCCTTAACACAGTCTTAGCGTTTCAAACTGCAGATTTCCACTTTTTGGTTACTGACCTGGTCTACCACTCCTCCCCATAGACTCAGGTAGTCTGCTGGGTAAGTGGAGAAGATACCAGCTGTGCCAGTGGCACCACGAACTGTCAGATGCCCTCCAGTGAACTCCATTATGGCATCTAAACCAAATACATACTGTATGAATAAGTGCCTTCATTTGGATGTACTTACTGTACTGTGTTTTTATATACAGGTAGGTTACACATAGGCCAACATGCACTCACCATAGTACTGAAGAGCAACAGTTGCTGCAGCCAGAAATGCTCCTAAAATCTGTGACCACACATAGAAAGGAAAACGAGTCCAGGAGAATCTGCCCAGGACACACAGGCTGAGGGAAACTGCTGGATTCAGGTGAGCTCCTTAAACAAATGGGGTATATTTTATTTTACAAGGACATTATTAATATACACAGCTGTACTGGAGAGTTTGTACCTGATACCCCTTTTGCAATGTAGATTCCAAATGTGGTGCCCAGTGCAAACCCGAGGTTGATTGACAGGTAGTCGCCCTTAGTGTTGTGAGAGGTCGTCACCTGGGCAACAGAGCCACACCCAAAAAGCTGGAGTGTAGAGACAGTGACATCAAGACATTTTGATTAAATAATCTGGTGTGAATGTGTACTCAGACATGATGTCTATAATTTAAAGCTGAGATTCTTGAGCATTATGACTGCAGTTCTTAAGAAGAGGCAAAAGATTATTAAATAGTTCAAAGTTTGACCTATTGCTGAAATTCTTTGCACATGCTATTGAAGAGATGTAATGAACACAAGGCAGCAGTACGTTTCAGTAGATAATAGGATATTGTGAATTTTTATTTCAATATTTTTATTTCAATTATGTTAGAATTTTACAAGTGCTTTACCATTTACACAACACTTTACGGTAAAATTAATTAGTAAACTACTAATTATTAAACTACTACGTAAACTGCATTTAACATGAACTAGCCAGGAAAAACACTTTCCTTGAATTTATTAATCTTAGTTAATATGAATTTGAAAATGTAGTATTGTTAAAATCAAAAGTTGTATCTGTTAATTGTATCTGTTGTATCTGTTAACACAACCATATGATCTTCTTTCAAATTAGTACTTATAACAATCAGTCCATTCAGCAACAAAAAATGCAGGATATGTTTAAATCACCCTTATTGCTGAATTAATTACAGCAACGGCTATTAGAAAATACACTTACATTATAACATTATGTAATTACATTATGTAATTGTATCTACAAATGTGCATGCACACACTATAAACACAGTGGTTATCATATAAAGATATACAGTTATCACGTATTTAAAACATAATTACATTTGGTTACCCATATCGGAAATTACAGATATCTGTAGGTGTAGCTACCAAATGATTCATTGATTAACAAATAAAAGACAAATGTATTAAACTGAACGAGAAGAGATGCAAATTATAAGTTTGATTGTAAAAACTTTAAGAAATGCCGTTACCGTGAATGAAACATTTATGTGAAACTTATTTTGTGAGAAAAGGATACTTTGTGATTTTGATTGTAACAAAAATGAAAATATGCTAAAATGTTTGAAGGAAGTGAACTTTTGATTAACTTTTGTGATATTAGCACTAGGTGTTTTGAAAATGTACAGTTGCTTGTGAAAATTGCACCAAAGCAATTAAAAGAACTAACAGAGATTTATAAATAATGTTGCAAATGAATCGTTAATTGTTAATGAATGTTAATGCAATCTTATTGTAAAGTGTTACCAAAGAAAATCTAAATTTTGAAAAGATACCAATATCTCAGCTCTGGAAGGGTCTAGAACCTCCATTTTTGCACTCAGGTCTAAGTCCCATGGCCCTCTATCAGAATCCAGAGTTTCAAGAAGATGGGAGAAACTTATTTTTTCGCACCAAAAAAAAAAAAACGACAGCGGTAACACTGTCGTTTTTCTTTTTTTGGGTCGAAATTTTTAGTTTCTCTGATCTTCTTGAAACTCTGGATTCTGATAGCCCCTGGATTCTCTAGCCCCTTCCAGCGCTGAGATATTCAAACTCAAAAATTCGTCCCGAAAAAAAAACAACAGTGGTACCCCTTACTTTTTTTTTTTTTTCGGCGAAAAATTAAGTTTCTCCAATCTTCCCAATACTATGGATTCTGATAGAGGGCCATGAGACTTAGACCTGAGTGCAAAAATGGAGGCTCTAGTCCCTTCCAGAGCTGAGATATCGAAACTCAAAAATTCGGCCCGAAAAAAAAACGACAGTGGTACCCCTTACGGTTTTTTTTTTTTTCGGGTGAAAAATTAAGTTTCTCCAATCTTCCCAATACTCTGGATTCTGATAGAGGGCCATGAGACTTAGACCTGAGTGCAAAAATGGAGGCTCTAGTCCCTTCCAGAGCTGAGATATCGAAACTCAAAAATTCGGCCCGAAAAAAAAAACGACAGTGGTACCCCTTACGGTTTTTTTTTTTCGGGTGAAAAATTAAGTTTCTCCAATCTTCCCAAAACTCTGGATTCTGATAGAGGGCCATGAGACTTAGACCTTAGTGCAAAAGTGGAGGCTCTAGCCCCTTCCAGAGCTGAGATATCGAAACTCAAAAATTCGGCCCGAAAAAAAAACGACAGTGGTACCCCTTACGTTTTTTTTTTTTTTTGGGTGAAAAATTAAGTTTCTCCAATCTTCCCAAAACTCTGGATTCTGATAGAGGGCCATGAGACTTAGACCTGAGTGCAAAAATGGAGGCTCTAGCCCAGAGGTCTCAAACTCGCGGCCCGCGGGCCATTTGCGATATTTTGTGGCCCCCTACTTGATATTAAAGTTTAATGTTAGTGCGGCCCGCCGTTGCGTTTGCCGCGTTTTTTTTTTAATTATTATTATTTTTATCCCTTATACCATATGTAGTCTCGTGACAGCTTACCGTAGGTTTGTTGTCAATAGTTGTCATAGACAACCACGAAGTACTGCGCCTGGAAAAAAATGAGCGCGTCGCTTCAATTATGAGCGCGCTCGGCGCTTGATGCGCGCCTATTTGAAACCTACTTGAGCGTGCAAAATATGTGAGCGTGATATGTGAACAGGCATAAGGCGAGCTACCACCACCAAATCAGGCCACAGCTACTGATAGCTCGCGAGCGACGTGTTGGATATCCCTGCTCTAAAACAATGAATGTGAGAATAATCATTTTGAGCTCGTAATATGTGTTGTGTCTGAACGCGTTCAATGACGATAGTTCATAAACTCGTTCATATTTTGGGCGAACGTGAACTGAACGTAACCTACTGTATTACTGCCTGATGAACGTTACAGTGAACTCGTTCATTCAAGTGTTTGTGAACCGAGGAGCGAGGAGGCGTCGAAAGATCATTTAAAAAAGGGTTTTATGAGGTCGGCGAGGATGGGAAAATCTTACATGTCTGTGCAAACTCTGCCCGTCGACAAAATGATTGTTATCTGTGGTTGTATATGGGCTGTAGCAATAATAATAGCTTAATAATAAAAAAGAAGCTCGCAGCAACATATGGAAAAAAAGAACTAGTTCATTTTAAAATTTGTGAATTGAACTTTGAACTAGTTCATGTAATGAACTTGGTCCAACAGGTTGATAAGAAGGTTTGCTTTGATATGTGCAAAGTCAGTAATTTGCCTGAGACACTATACATGTGTAGAAAGAATTATTTGTATTTCAAAAGCAGTAATTGTTTTTCTAAGTATAACAAAAGGAAATGTGCCTTTTGGGGGAAAAAAATCAATATAATAGTGTTGTATAAAGAAAATAAAAAGCAAATATGACTATCATCACAACAAAGATGTTGTGTATAAGAAAAAGACAAAGAAAGTTTGTAAAATTAACTCCAACTGTCCGAAGGACAGCTCATGAAGAACCAATCATGTACAGAAAGGAATGTTCAAATTCAGAGGAACAGTTCAGAGGAAACATTAATAATAAAGATTGAGAAGATTGGATCAGTTGTGCTCCATTTTTGGAATACTTAAATACATTTTTTTTTTTGGGGGGGGGGGGGGGATACTTGATGCGGCCCGGCCTGACCCAGACTCTATCTCCAGCGGCCCCCAGTTAATTTGAGTTTGAGACCCCTGCTCTAGCCCCTTCCAGAGCTGAGATATCGAAACTCAAAAATTCGTCCCGAAAAACGACAGTGGTACCCCTTACGTTTTTTTTTTTTGGGCGAAAAATTAAGTTTCTCCAATCTTCCCAAAACTCTGGATTTTGATAGAGGGCCATGAGACTTAGACCTGAGTGCAAAAATGGAGGCTCTAGCCCCTTCCAGAGCTGAGATATCAAAACTCAAAAATTCGTCCCGAAAAAAAAACGACAGTGGTCGGTAAAAATGGAGGCTTTAGCCCCTTCCAGAGCTGAGAGCCTCCATTTTTGCACTCAGGTCTAAGTCTCATGGCCCTCTATCAGAATCCAGAGTTTTGGGAAGATTGGAGAAACTTAATTTTTCGCCCGAAAAAAAAAAAAAACGTAAGGGGTACCACTGTCGTTTTTTTTTTTTGGGACGAATTTTTGAGTTTTGATATCTCAGCTCTGGAAGGGGCTAGAGCCTCCATTTTTGCACTCAGGTCTAAGTCTCATGGCCCTCTATCAGAATCCAGAGTTTGGGAAGATTGGAGAAACTTAATTTTTCGCCCGGAAAAAAAAAAAACGTAAGGGGTACCACTGTCGTTTTTTTTTTTTGGGACGAATTTTTGAGTTTTGATATCTCAGCTCTGGAAGGGGCTAGAGCCTCCATTTTTGCACTCAGGTCTAAGTCTCATGGCCCTCTATCAGAATCAAGATTTTGGGAAGATTGGAGAAACTTAATTTTTCGCCCCAAAAAAAAAAACGTAAGGGGTACCACTGTCGTTTTTTTTCGGACCGAATTTTTGAGTTTCGATATCTCAGCTCTGGAAGGGGCTAGAGCCTCCATTTTTGCACTCAGGTCTAAGTCTCATGGCCCTCTATCAGAATCCAGAGTTTTGGGAAGATTGGAGAAACTTAATTTTTCACCCGAAAAAAAAAAAAACGTAAGGGGTACCACTGTCGTTTTTTTTTTCGGGCCGAAATTTTGAGTTTCGATATCTCAGCTCTGGAAGGGGCTAGAGCCTCCATTTTTGCACTCAGGTCTAAGTCTCATGGCCCTCTATCAGAATCCAGAGTTTTGGGAAGATTGGAGAAACTTAATTTTTCGCCCCAAAAAAAAAACGTAAGGGGTACCACTGTCGTTTTTTTTTCCGGCCGAATTTTTGAGTTTCGATATCTCAGCTCTGGAAGGGGCTAGAGCCTCCATTTTTGCACTCAGGTCTAAGTCTCATGGCCCTCTATCAGAATCCAGAGTTTTGGAAGATTGGAGAAACTTAATTTTTCGCCCGAAAAAAAAAAACGTAAGGGGTACCACTGTCGTTTTTTTTTTCGGGCCGAAATTTTGAGTTTCGATATCTCAGCTCTGGAAGGGGCTAGAGCCTCCATTTTTGCACTCAGGTCTAAGTCTCATGGCCCTCTATCAGAATCCAGAGTTTTGGGAAGATTGGAGAAACTTAATTTTTCGCCCCGAAAAAAAAAAACGTAAGGGGTACCACTGTCGTTTTTTTTTCGGGCCGAATTTTTGAGTTT